TGTTATTCTTCCTGCTAAAAATCTATTGGCTGCGTACTGAAATGTACTTTTCATGGCTCCCAAAAATAGATTTTGCTGCAGGAGCCTCCCAGAGGGCAAACTCCTCACATTATACCTACTGAGTATCTCTGCATGATCCAATTATATAATCTAAATGCTCGTTCTATTTTAAATTTCTGAAGCACCTGCTTTTCCAGCTAAGCCAAGTTAAACCATGCAAAGGTTCACAGATCTACTGTGCACATGTTCCATACTAGGAAGTAAAACTTTCTGTACAAATAACGTGCCGGAACCTATCAAGCTTCTGTGTTTTGCGATGAAATGTAAACGACAAAATCATAGCTTTGTGACAAACAGATGTCACATCTCTGAACAAACAGTGGAGATAAAATTTAAAGCACTGGTAGGCTGAAAACTTAAATTCAATATATTTTGCCAATATTGCAACCCATTTTAATTTTTCTGTCTATATTTCTCAAAACTACACGGAATTTACCTTGGTTCCGTATGACTGGCACATATCAGAGCAGAGGCATAGAAAAAAACATACTGTTTGTAACCTATAGTTTCTATATACTGACAACATAGCCTTGAAATAGCTTCATGCCATAGCATTTAAATTTTACATAGAGTCTGATTCTACATCTAAGAGGGTCCTTTAAATTTCAAGACTGTGCTCTAAGGAAAACTGAAGGAAGCCCAGTGCTCTTAACCTGGAAAATCCAGGGTGACCAGCATATGATTTGTATGAATAAACTAAGATTTTCCAGTCGCCCAAGAGCAAAAGTTAGGCACCAGGGGCCACTGGGCTCTGCTAGAGCACATCCTTGAATTTCCTTAGAAAATGTTAGACTGTATACCAAAAGCTTTCTGGCTGTGGATATTTAAGAAAACACACTGTATTTTCCACCATACTTGCCCTAACTTTAAATAGGAGTCATGACCATGAAATCTTCTATGCAGTTATTTGAATGCTTCGCATCATTTGGCAGAAAGTTCACAGTGGCTGAATTTGCCTAAATTTCATGGCACAGCTCCTTTAATTCATACTGTAAGTGCTATATTTTCATAACCTACCTCTGTGGGCATTGTGGCAAACTTCTCAGGAGTAATCTGGCCGGATAGAACTTTTACTTTAAGAAGTGGATTCTTGGCATCACGAAGGTTGCTAACACGACTTCTGACCCGCTGTTTGTACTTGGCATTTGTGTCTTTGAACTCCTGGAAAATACCTTAAAAGGTGTCAAGGTAGAAAATACAAACTTTAACAGTGTTCTCAACAAACTGCGGCCTTGCAGGATTCCCGCAAGAAAATCTGAGATGGTGGATGAAAAGCCAAGAAGATGCACCCGTTAGGGCGCAGGGGGCATGCTATGAGTCAACCTGACTTTAGAACATTTGCAGTTAAGTAGTTTTAATGGTCAATCGAACGTGGTCCCCAGCATTTTGCTTGGTTGAATGAATAAAAAAACATGATATCAAAAGATTCAAAGTCTTTAATTCTATTTCCTTAGCTTTCATTGGTCCCATGTACATTGCGAAGATTGAAGCATGCATTGTAATCAAATCATAAACACCCCATCAGCCATAATCAGGTAGGTAATTCATATAACAGATCATTTGGAGTGTGGGCTCAGGTTATTTGTACCATGTGGTTTTTGCTGATGAAGAAACAGCTTATGCACGATGGCACAGCGAAGATAAGATTCTTTCTTTTGTCTTTAAGTCCCTAGAACATGCTTTGATGAAATGGAAGCCACAGAAATCACGAAGAATTTTTTCAACACCACTCATGGGCCATGAGTAACTTTGTCCCCCTAATGTTCTTACAGGGCCCCTATTTCTCAACAGAGGGGGCCGTGGAACTCCCCAAGATAAAATCCTGGCGAGAACACTGCTTTAACACTATATTTACTGCTACATGTTAAATTAATAACAAAGTTTTTTTACTACATAACAGTTAATATTCCTGTCAAGGTAAAAGAAAATCAGGCCCTCTGGCCAATAGAGATTGAAGCAGCCAAGGTGGTTATCCCAGTAAAATTTTGTGCGTGTGCCTGAGAAAAAGTTAATGGTATACTGGTTAAAATGACTAAAATTTCTATAAGTCCCAAACAGTTTGTAAGATGGTGTAGAAAGAAGGATACATTCTTCACACGCTGCAGCAAAGTCTTCTGGAGTCATAACTGTAAAATAAAAACAAGAAAACACTTTTTCAAGTACGAATGCAGCAAACTATCAAAATTTGCATCACACACTCTGTTACTGGTATGCTAAAATTAATTAGTAGCAGATTTATTTTAATCCCTAGCAGTTTAACGCTTGAATCAAGGGTTTAACTCAACACAATGTAACTGAAATAACCGCTGGCACTCAGTTAGCTCAATTGGATAAGCGCTAGTGTGCCGAGTGGGAGGCTGCTTGTTCAAACCCGGGCCATACCAACACTCATGGTCTTTAAATGACTGAGGAGAAAGTGCTGCTTTCATCAAGACATCTGTAAATGGCTAGAATTTCTAGCGTTCTCACAAATCTTGCACGTATAAGTTTTGTGGGATATTAAGGAACCCATGCACTGTTTGTAAGGAGTTGGGGACGTACATGTAGTTCCCCGGTGGGGTGGTCTATATCTCATGGGGGAAAGGACTGTTATGAGCCTTCAGTATCTTGCACCATGCACTGCTGTGGTGGCCCTGCCAAGAATTGGCAAACTTACATGTAAGTAGCTAAATAAAATTTAAAAAAATCTGGCCTATTCAACAAATTAGCATACAAATCACCTACCCTGGTCAAATTCAACTTCCACCTTAAGAGAATTGACAATCATTTCTCTGCACTTCCCACGTACAGAGTCACCAGTGACCTTTGGAGGTGGAAAAGTGACTACTTTGTTGTCTTGAGGAGTACTGGGTGCAGAGGAGGATGACTTGGTACTCTGTGCAGGTGAACTGCTTCGACTGGATTTTTCACTGACTGGTGTCTTAGATCTGTCTCCATTTTCCTCCGTTTTACCTCCGGATTTTTCTGAAAAATTATTTAAAACAGTTAGAGCCACTCAAAGTAGACTTACTGCCACCTGGTTAACCCAATAATTGGATATTAAGTGCCATTTTGCAGGTCAAACCCTGGCCAAACTAACACTCCGGGTCTAACTGAGGACAAAGTGCAGCAGGTCCCTTTCTCGGGCAATAATTACAGTCAAACCACCCAAATGTGGAGACTTAGAGGTCACTTATTTATTTACCAGCTTTTCTGGAAACAGGCCTGCCCAGAGGGAATGTGCACGAAAGGGATTCAGGTCCAATGCGAGGTGCCATCCCTACCCAATTCCACAACCTATAAAGGTTGGCCACACCACCGGAGTCTACAAACCCTACTCTTTTCGAATAGTGATGTGGGTTCTTTTACGTCTCACAAGAACAAATCGGTGAAAGTGCTGTGAGATGGGACCTCAGTTTTTTGTCCTTATCTGAGAAGACTAGAAAGTCTAACCATTTTCAGATGTCATTACAAAGGTAGCACTTTCTTCTCAGTTATTTAAAGACCGTGAGTGTTGGTCTGGCCGGGGCTTTGAACCCATGACCTCCCGCTCAGCAGACCGGCACTCTCCCAACTGAGCTACAGGAGGTGGTTGCTTACAAGAATCGAACCACAGGAGTTCTCTTTTGAGAAGAGGTAATGACACATACTTTTTGGTGGATAATCAATTGCATGCAATTTCTAAGTTACACATGCGTGTAGTTCCATGCTGTCACTGAAACTTCTTCGAATACTCTGAGTGGTGTAGTACTTGTACAGTGAACACAGGGAACACACACTTTGTGAAGTGGTTAGAGGTTAAAGGTTAAGAACAGTGGAGCATTAGGTCAAAAACAGTTGCTTCTGAGAGGTGGTCATTCATGAGAGGTTCTATTATTATGGGGCTTCGACAGGGGAAATTTTAGTTTTTGAATGGGTGGTCGCTTATGGGAGGTGGTTGCTTCTAAGAGGTGGTCGCATATGGAAGTTCAACTGTATTACTTTTGATTTAATAGCAGCTACCAAATTTTGCTGGAAAATGTAAGTGTTCGTAGATATTCTAGATTCATGATACTACCTAATACAATTCTTCAAGCTTATTTGCCCTTAAATTTACTCCACGAAATGATGGTCACACAAATACATCTTGTTATGACCATTTTAAGAAGTTGCCCTGATGGGAATAGGTTTGAGTACAAAGGACTCAAAACTAACTACTAAGCTCCACTCTCTGTGTATTTTATCACCTGGTAGAAGTTTCTTCCATGATTTAATGAGTGCTTTAGCCTGTGTTTGCAGATCTGAGTTTTCACTCTTTTTTCTCAGAGTGTTAACAGACATTCCTATTCTCGTCTTCTGAAGGACTTCTAACGTGATTGGAAGATCTTTAAGCCTTTTTAAAAGATCCACTGCACCGTCAGAATCCATCTGAAGAAATGTACAAATAAATGTTAAAAAATGTTTAGAAAATATTTTAGAATGGATGTTCTATTGTTTTGCTGATAAATTAGCTTTTACCAGCACCTGTATCTCGAAGCTAATAAAAAAAAAAGAAAAAAAGATAGGTATTCTCAGAGCTGCTGTATGTTTTTCGGTTAAAAATTTGAGCGCAAAGCACAAATTTGCTATCATTCTTGAAACAGTAACAGTTGTATCTTAATATGGATAGGTTTGGTGCTTTCTTGGTCAAAAAAATTTTGTATTTCATTTGTTTTGGAAGAAGATCTAACCGGTTGACAGTTTTTTGTTTGTTTAAGGACAAACAATTTCCTGTCTTTGGTAGACATTGACTTTTCATTTATTTACAAATTAGGGGGACCATTTTAATAAAAATTCAACTGAAAGTCTCTTTATTAGTAAGGTCCTAGTGGAAGTCCAATTTGTTTAATCAGGAGTCCATGTATGATTACAGACTGAATTGAACGACACAAAGCTATGTTACCATTAAAACATAACTAATGATATTTTAAGCTTTTTTAAAATTTAATTACCAGATATTCGGGGAATTTTATGTTGGAGGTGAAAAATAAACCCTTTCGAGTGTGCGCCAGTGGCATGTACTATCCACTTAGGCATGATGCATACTGTCTTATTACACTGTCGTTTTAATGCTGAAATCAGAGCAATTACTAGCCAATCAGATTGGAGAATTTTGTTATAATTATGAGTACAATGAAAATACACTCAGTTGCACCAGCTAGTTTACCCGTTTTATACTTCAACAGGACAAAACAGGATTAAACCCATCAAAAATAGATGGGTGTGGGGAAGGTGCCTGGTGAAACAGAAGGGGGCTGCAAGCAAGCCTAAAAGGTAACCATGACAACCCTGTGAGCGGCACCCACCTCGCACCGTCACACTGAAAACCTCAGTGGAAAAGGTGCAGATACTTACCAAGAAAAGCATCCACAAAGGAGGGAGGGTTGAGGGCAAACAAAAAACTAGAACTACTGCAAGCAAAAGCAACGTGAGTACAATGATTGACTTCTGCGACATCCTTGACCAGCCACGGTTGGTCGAGGATTTAAGGAATAAGAAACAAATCCAGATAGTGGCCACAGCATGCATGAGCTGGGAACTCCTGGATTGCGAGTCTGATGCTCTGACTAACGGGAAAGTAACAGTATTCATCCAGAGGTACATGTACTGTGTGTTAGCAGACTTTACTCCCAAATCTTTCAAGTCAAACACCTTTATGAAAAGCTCCAGTTGAATACTTGTACGAAAAAAAATTGTACACGTACAGTGGAACCTCAACATAACGAACCTCTATATAACAAAGTCCTTGGTATAACGAACAATATCCTTTGCCCCAGCAATAGTAAAATATATGAAAAGGAACTCCCTTGGCCCTTTGTTATATCGAGGTTCCACTTCATACCGCTGAAGGTGATAAAAATCCAGGTAGTGTCCATTTAACCACTGTAAAACTACAAGGACAAACATTGAAGGGTCTGCGCAAAAAACATCCCCTTCATAATTATCGAATGTGCACGTACGTGCTGGTGGTTTCTTTTGGGACACTAACGTCCTGCAAAACGATGTGTTTCTTTCAACAAACAATCATCTACGGATATACAATCTTGATTACACGAGGGTAGATCTAAAACTAAATCGTGTAAAGCTAACGTCGAACCAGACTTTTTCTTATAAGATTTTAAAAGTTTTAATTTATTGCAAGCTAGCGAAACAGAAAATACTCATTAACATTGTCAAGATGCAGGTACACATTGAACATATTGATGTGCTAAAGAAATTCTTGACATTACAAATAAAAGCAATCTAAAGCGATCAGTTCAGAATTTTTAAAACTTACATTTTGAACTTTAGCCAGATACTACAGTGTTTAACAAACATGAAACGCTATCTTTTTTCTCTTTGAATATGAAACAAGGTTTTTTTAACATCTGCATCTTTAGAAACTTAAAAATTAATCAAGCATTAAATTCAGTCGGTATAACTACATCAGAAGTTCCCAAACAGCAAACGCTTTGCGTTAATTTCACTTTACAGTAAACAGCAGGATTGAAATCCTTTCTCGTGAATGGGTTCTTAGAACGCGTGGTACGACCGGCCGGTAAAATATCAACAAACGTCACTGACTCACCGTTCCTTCTTCGCCAACGATCTTTTCCAGCTGCTTACCAATCTTAAATACCTCCTCTTCGAGACTCATTGTGCTTTGAATTCGCAGCAACAGTGCTAAAACAGCAAAGGAGCTAACCGCAACTTTGTAAGATCACATTGCACGATGCTGTTCGCGCCACATCATGGCCGACAGGAAAGTGCCGATTATGAGAGCCCACGACCTAGTCAGCGGATAGCTTCGTGTCCGTTTATCTGGCAGTTGCGGTTGCCTCGAGATGCTTCTTGATCTTATTTTCCTATTTTTTTCTTCCATTTTCCAAAAATACCTGAGAATATTTAATGTATGATTCCACCCCTAAGAAGGAAAGAAAGAAAAAAGAGAGAAAAAATACTATCTTGGCTTATATCCAAGAAAAAAGCTAGAAAGCTAGAAGGTGGGCATAAAGAGAGAAGCAGGTTTTATCTTGTCAGGAGCCAAGGCTCTTTCGGTTACCAGAAAAGTATACTTTTATTAGCTCATAATAGCGCAGTTATCAGTTTTGCCATGAAAATACACTTATTTTCACAAGTGACATTCATTTTCGACTTTACAAGAAGGGAGATATTCAATAGCACGCGCCAGGCAAACAAAATGCGCCCAAAAATAGCGCTTGTTGTGCACGACTCTGCCGAATACTTTCAAAACGAGAGGTGCTCTTCACTAAGGTCAAGCGAGAGAAATTTGCAAAAGCAAAGCAAAGTACCTCTCTTAAGCTCCCCGGGGGTGCTTATTTATTTCAGCCCATTTGAGGCCCTGATTTGAGGGGGATTAATAGGACGGGGGCCTTATTTAATTTAGAAAAGACGATGGTATCAGTTCTCCATAAAGGACTACAAAGCGAAGTGGAAAAGCTCTTGACAAGAAGTTTTAGGTTCAGCAGCGAGGATCAGAATCATCTGAACTTCCAGTTGGTAAATAAACCATCCCGGATCAGTCTACACGAAGTTTTACAGTCGTGATTGATTAATACAGTCTCTCATTTATTAGTGAAGAATATTTAGGTGAGGGGAGGGGGGCCTTAAAAGAGAAGGGGGCTCATTAACTCTCTTCCCTTCAAAAAGGGGGGGGGGGGCTTATAAGAGGGAGGGGGCTTATTTGAGAGGGGGGGCTTAATAGAGGATTTACGTCAAAGCTAATGCAGTTACTTTCACAGACTGTTTCAAGTTTAATATATTTTCCAACACGCTGTTTATTTCCGAAACATTAATAGAATGTTTACGGAAAGAGTTCTGAAATTTGAAAACTCATTAGCATACGAAGCAGGAGTACATCCATTTTGCGGTGCGAACGATGATACCAATGTTCTCCCGCCATCTTGGATGTTGAATTGGAGTGAGTCAAAAATGATTCAAAGTTTATTTTTCGTTTAATTTTCAATTGCTTTCAAGATGGCGGCCGTGATCTATGAACCTTCGATCGAGCTGTCGCTAAAATAGGTGGAACACCAGCTCTGCGGGCCAGCTAGCAAAAAAACTGGACCTGGTCACTGCCGGCGCCACTGGCGCCATTTGTCAACAGAATTTTGACCCGGTCGCGAAGCGTTTTCAAAGAAAATAAGCTTATTATTTGGAGAAATATGCAAAGATAGTTGTATTTTATGTATCCTGGTCAATATTTTCACTTAATGGTGAATGAATCCTTGAAAAAGAAAAAAAAAAGCCTCGGACAGTTTAATCGCGGTGACGGGGTGTTCGCAGTCTGATCTGATCAGTCGCGCCCTAGACCCAGATATCTTCAGGGCCACTGATAATACGCTTAGATAATTTGAATTTGAGCTACACGTTATTGACATATTCTGCCCTGTAGCAAATTTTACTAGGAGAAGATACAGCTAAAAGATGAAAAAAGCAAATAGGCTCCTGATATGGTAATCGCCTATTTTCGTCAGTTGTCAGATATCGAACAGGCTCCGGGCGTCTACAGTCCTACTTAATATGCCTTACTGTTCATGAAGCATTGATGAAAAGCTCTTGAAATTAAATATAGTCTACTCCAACTTTTTTCCTACTTGAACGGAAGCAAAAAAAATTAACAATTAACAGTTAATTAGTTTGGTTACAATTGAGCTAACAAGACTCCATTCTTCTCGCTGATTAAGGTTGTCCCTCCTTTGCTTGAGTTCCCTTTGTACTCCCCGATGCGTTGCGTTAGTTTCCATTTGTGTTGTCAAGGGGACGTGGCTAATTAACACTCACAGCTTGTCTCGGATTGGTTGCATTAGATTATTCTAGAGAGGGATTTGTTTGCCTTTAAGAAGCGACTTCTGGCCTACACAAGCGTGTTGCTACACTTGTCTCGGTGATGTGTTTATACGCTTAGGCTGACCTCCATTTATAAGCAAGAATGGCGGAAGGTAATAATACCAAAGAATCGTTAAATGATGTCGATCAAGTCCCACAAAATAATAATATTGGCTATTATGTTGACAAGGCAAATGTATCGCTGTCGGACGACCAGACTGCAAATGAGGAGCATTTAAAATTTGCCAACTCTGCAGACGGAATCGAAAAAAATACCAAGGAATTGGTTGATAAAGGGGGCGAAATTGGGGCGAATAATATTAAAAATGCTGAAGTTGCACACAGTAAAGAGAAGGAAGAATCAGGCCTGACAGCTAAAATACCAGGTGATGGCAACGAAAACAATGGAGAGAGTATTGGAGAGAGTATTGGCCGTGATATAAAATCCGATAACGCCAGTTCAAACGAAGGATCAAGTGAATCTTCATCCCAGGCAAAGTCGATCAGTCCGCGGAAAGTAAAGAGAAGAGGAATTTTCGTGTCGTATGCCCCAGGAGCGAGTTTTATCGAGAAGCGCTTTATTTCCTATACGGTTAAGGAATTAAAAAATATAGGATTTTGCGATGATATTTGGTTCGACAAAGATGAGGGAGAGCCAATCGAGAGTCCATTCTGTTTTCAACAGAGACTAGAAGTTGCCGAAAAATGTCGAGCATCGATCATGTTTTTGTCTGAGTCGTACTTCAGTTCCAGAGTTTGTCGTCATGAGGGACAGATCTTGCTTAATCGGGACGAAGATCGAGAAAGTGCTGACGGAAAAGCTGAACTTGAGAAGCCAGCAAAATTGTTCTGTATCAACTATAGCCGCGGGAAGCTTCCTAAAGAGTACAAGCAGATGGAGGAACGTGCCCTGGATTTGAGCTCTTATGCTGCATCGAGTGTGGCTGAGCTTTCATCCATCGTTGTGGGAACTTTCAGTGAAGAACTCGAGAAATATGCTCCTCTGTTTGGTTTGCGCGTTCCCACGCCTCCCCGTGCACCAGACGTTTTAAAAGTTGATCGACAAAAACCTGTATCCTCGTGGAATGCATCTGATGTTCTTGGTTGGTTGACCTCTCTGAAAATGCAAGCGTACTGCTCCCTGAGTTTTGAAGAGAACGAAATTGACGGCTTTTTGTTGGTTTCTATGAGTGAAACCGACATGGAAATCCATTTGAATGTTGACAGTCGCGTGGCACGTCGAAAGCTGTCGCAACAAGTAAAGAGAATCCAAGAAGATCAAGCACAGAGCAAAGACAACTGGTATCTAAAGTGTCAAAAAAGCAAAGCGAAGGAAGACTTCGTCTACGTTATTTGCGATCCAAATGATGTACGGTTTTATTACAACCTACGAGCGGATTTGCTCCAGAAAAACCTACAGGTATAAATATCTGTTACGGTCACGCTATTGTGTTTAAAATTAACAAATTATCATGTCAATTAGTTTTTGCATTTAAAAATAATCCCGGATGACCAATATCGCTACCTCAGCTCATTAGACTGATTGAATTATTATTTTCAGTCGATCGCTAAATTAAATTTATTTTAATTTGACTTGTTTGATGTACCATAATCCTCGGGCAAATACAGTTAAACCTCTATATCAAGCGGACACTTTCGACGGAGGTTGTAAAAATTGCGCAATGTTTGTTAACGATCAACATTCAACGGTTACTCTGTACTGTGATAAAGTTACATGTTGTTACAGAAGCTATCCAGAGTTCAAATTCATTACCTTTCATTACCAACTTTAATTTGTTTGTAAATGCAAAAACATTACTGACTTCAGTACGTATTTCAAGGACGTAATCCAATACTACTATTGTCATTTCAGTCCGATGTCCGCTTAGCAGAGGTTTTTATCAATAGAAATGAGCCAAATACAACTTATTTTAGTGTTCGCGTCCACCTAATAGAGGTGTCCGCTGAATAGTAGTCTGCTACACAGCCGTTTTTGGTGTCGTCACGCAACGCTCCTCCCCACTAACACACTGGGGAGGAGCGTTGCGTGACGACACTAAAAACGGCCGTGTAGCAGCCTAGCTGAATAGGGGTTCGTTATAAAGGAAAATGTAAGACGTTAATTTCGGAACCCGGCCTAATGTCCGCTTAATAGAGGGTGTCCGCTTAATAGAGGTTTCACTGTAATGCAATTAACATATCGGCATGTGATGTAAGGCAAGTGATTTTAATTGACACAATGATGTAACGCCTACCAAGTTAAAAAACGAAAATTGAAAATCAACCACTATCAGAGAGAAAAGTCAAACACATGCTTTTGCATTTTGAGTGCGAAACTGTTCAATGAAAATATCTGATATAAATTTGAATCCCATTTTCCCATGCCATCGCAAAACGGTTGCCACTAAGGTACACGCATTTTTACAAGTTTCTTTGGTCACGTGTGACGTGTAAACTGTGAATTCTGAGTGGCTTGTAGCCGTGATTCTGTGAGCAAAACAATTTGTGATGTTTTTTTTTTAAATCGAGGAACGAGAACTAAGAGAATCACGAATTGCTACTTCCTAAATGTTGCCCTTTGTACACGTTTTGTTCAGTGTGAACGGTGGCAAGGGTCATTGTGCAAACCTCACGCGGTACTTTCTGTGACACATACATGTATACAGGTACCTTTCTGCTGAGTATGACTTAAAACATGCTATTGCAAGCCTTTCTCAAAATGTTATATAAAAAAACTGGAAGCTTTGAGACCCAGGGGCAGTGTAGTCTGCTCCACGGCCGTTCTTTGTGTCGTCACGCAACGCTCCTCGTTGCATGACGACCCAAAGAACAGACGGCTCTTCCGCCCGTGCTTGAAAACTTTCGTCGCGCCTTTTTTCCCGACCGGGCTGACTGCCCCTGATTCTCCGAGGATGGAAATTTGTTACAAGATTGATTTGTATCTTCCGAACTCATTGCAGTCCAGGAAGTTATTTAACAGTTTAATTTAAAACATGTGGCTGAACTTTCAGCCTCAAATTAGTTGAACTTATCATTGTGTTGATTGGTTTTATTTCCCAAAGAGAATCGTACAAATTAGGATGATAAAAGTGGTTGTATTACTCAACCTCAGGCCCGAAGTAAAAGCCCTGGGAATGAGTTCTTCTGCCGCGTTTTTTTTGGTCGACAAGATTTGCTGACCGTGATCACTTCCGTTGGCTTTTTTTATTTTCTTTTTCACTCTTCGCCACGTTAAAGGCGGACTTCTATAAAGGGATTTAGTCTCCGTCTACACGTATCCGTTTTGTTTAGAAAACGGATATTTTTTTCCCCTTCGCTTTGGCCAACTTCGTCCCCAGGGCTTTTCCCTTAAGAAATGGGTTGGGCGGGAAAAGGCCCTGGCATCGGCTGGTCACGTGTCCCCTCGTACACCCTAAAATCCTGGGTGTAATAAATTAGCGCTATGTGAAAAGCTAAAATTATGCGTAACCTCACAGCGCGCGATCTTGGGCGACCTTTTATATCTCTTGACGATTAACGAAAAGTTTTACAAGATTTCCTTTTCGTCACAGATACTGGCTATGGTATTTTTTTGCTTTCCTCCGATTTCTATGAAGGGGACAGCGAGTAACACTTATAACAACGTTTATAGAGCGATATAAGTACATATAAATGACAAACAAGCTATCGTACAGGCATAAAGTTTGTACTGGAAAAGTTCGTTTTCGCGACTCTTCTGATATTTTATTTCATTTCTCGCGAAGTGGACCGCCGTACACAGTCTAGTTCTATTTACCTTAACTCTCAGCCATATCATAGCGACACGCGTTGGTTTAGACTTATCTTGTATGACCTGTATTTTTAAAAAATGGATTGACCTCTGCGATCAAACAACTGGCAACAAAGAAAAACTTGGGTCCATTTAAAATTCACAGAGCTGCAGTTGATTCCAGTCGATCGGTCAATCTTCTCTTTGATATAAGGAAAATCCTTTGTACTTATCCTCGGAAGAGAAAAGATATATAAGAGGTCTTCAAATGTTTCAGATCGGCGACCTGTCATCGTTCCTGGCTGGAGGGCTGACTTGCATCCGGTGTGGAGATTTGTTTGTTTCATGGTCGGGTTGTAGAGAAGACCAGACTCCATAGTCTCCATAAAGCATTTTGATGAACAATTTTGTTTCTATTACGGTTCAATTTGTTAAATTCACTGCAGATCCTGGTGGCAAAGGCCCGCATTTTTGTTTGACATGGACAAAATCACTCTCCGCTTGATTGTACAGTAATTCCACAGTCACGATGAATTTCTGAAGTACCACTCGCGATAACAGCTTGTCTCAACTCTGAAGTATTTGACATATTTTGTACCTGATACCGTAGAGCTTTGTAGCATTTGAATAATAAGCAAATAAATGGATCTTAAGCTTTTGAACTGCGCACACACACGAAAATATTAACATGGTTCGCAATGTTATTATTTTCCATTGTTGCTCCGTTCGACTTCTGTCAGCGCAAAGCCAGCGGGTTGCATATAAATTAGCTTCTCAGGAATATTTAGGCTGTACACGTGACCAGCCGATGCCAGGGCCTTTTCCTGCCCAACCCATTTCTTAAGGGAAAAGCCCTGGGGACGAGGTTGCGCTTTGGCCTTCCGTCCACACGTATCCGCTGAAAACGGTTGCCGAAAACGCATCTTTTCAAAAACGCTTCCCAGAGTAGAGATTCAGCATGTGTTCTGTAAACATCAGTTTGCGGACGTTAATTCTAGAATAGATTTAAAATCTCGCTTCTTTCTTACAGGTATTTAAACACGAACGACTTGGCCAGTCAAGAGAGGAGTTCCTACAGCTCAACTCTGCACACCTCGCTAGCTGCAGTCACGTGATCGTTCTCTTATCTAACTCAGCTGCCACGTCGCTGTTTGTATACAATGAGGTTCTGTTTGCTGATTGGTTGGGTAAGCCTTTGGTGGTTGCCATGGCAGCCAACGCGTGGGAAAAACTTCGTCCCAACATGCAGGCGATTCTGGGAAGCTGCCCAGCGGTGGATTTCGAGAACAGGGCGTATGAAGAGAGTATGGACATTCTTTTGTATCACCTAAAGCCCTTTCGCAATATGCCGGCTGTCATCTTGGAGCAAGAGTTTTTGGATCGTATGGTAGAAGGTCTCAAACCCTTAAGAACGCTTGCTGTTCTCCCCGGTAAGCATATTGAATTTAAAAACAAAATCCTTGACGCAGGAGAAAAGCCTCAGCACTTTTATCTTTTTTAACATATTTCAGTTACGTTAAGATTCTCCCTAGGAAGGGGCAGCCGGGTTGCATCGCAGTTGCGTCAGCCTTGTTATCACAAAGGACTTCGGTAGAAGCGAGGTCAACTAGTTCTCTTATGATGGGTAGCTGCTAAGCATTCAGTTTGGTGTTCCTGTGGTAACGAAATATTTTTTTTATATTCTCCAAATCATCGATAAACTACAACTCATGCTTTATACAAGCATATTCTATTATCAGTCCTATTAGATGAAAAAAAACGTGCGCATCAATAATGTTTTTAAAATAAACAATGTAACTGGTTATTTAAACCTGCTGTTGTTGATTCATAGAATAAAGTAGCCGTGCATCTTCAAATAATTACTGGCAACCTTGCCAGCATCAGATTGGGTGGAGTTGACTTTATTCTTAATAACTTAAAGGACCTGTGTTAGGATATTTATCAAAATTCAAACAGTGAAAGCCGCCACCAAATTGAGTATGATTAAAAACGTTGGTTCGAAACATTAATAGAGCTGAAGGTATAAATAACCGAACAAATACAATAGAACGCACGGATGGAAAAACTTGTAGCATAGAGGATTTAAACGGATTGCAATTTGGTTTTTGAAAACTTGAGCGCTTTCAATTCATCAAAATTCCGGTTTGAAATTTTGGAAATTCTACGTGCCAAATGGAACGGTACATTCCGGTTGCACAGACTCGACCCAAGCCACCGCGCAGTTGCTTATTGTTCTTGCAAACAGGATACAAACGAGCGGAACAATTTTGTCCAATGGAAAGGAACATTTCAGTCCGACCGACCGAAATGAGTTGTCCGGTCAAAGTGGGTCACCTTCAGTAGTGGTCCCAAATATTCCGCCCAGTAGAAGCGAACCGAAAGTGGTCCTTTCCATTTGATTTTTAACCGAAATTTTCGGACTTTTTGGGCTGAATGGAAATAAAGCGCCCCTTATTACCCTAACAGCTTTTCAAAGTTCATTTTTGTTTTTTGTAACGTTACGTTAGATATAAGCTTTAGGTGATATTTGTTTGATACGAAGCTATGATTTTGTCTTGTCATCTGCAAGTAAATTCCTCGTTAACCTGACGTTAAGTTCCTTAGCGACTAAAGACGCGTTTTTGTATTATTAGGGACCTTACGATCCGACAACGGTGACGTCCATTACAAGGTCGCTGAAAAATAGACTCCGCATCCTTTCAAACCATTTCGTTCTTATCCCAAGTCACCCAGTTACTACGTAAAAAGAAGGGAATTTATGTTGGAGCTGAAGAAAGGGGACCGCACCCGAGTTCAGAAAGAGATGGTAGAATTTATCACCTTGCCGTTCCCGTACTCAAGTAAACTTAAAATTTGGTCATTTCACGTCGTAGTCGTGCAGAAATGGCAAAGAAATGTACAAAAAATCGTGATGCACGTGCAGAGTTATTGTTTTGCTAACTAAAATCTATTGCTTTTTGACGTTGCCGTCGCCGTCGCCGTCGCCGTCGTAGTTTCATAAGGTTCCTATTATATTAACCCAATGAACTTGTCAGACGTTGACACAACCCCTTTAACTGACGATATTGCCTTTCTTGCCATCGTTCAGATAATATCAGCGCCGGGAATGAAGAAATCTACCCACGGCCTAACCTGTTTTTCAGTTATCACTGGGATGTTCAAAGCAAAGTACAGATTTTGGTTCAGTACCTGGAAAGCCACGGATTCCAGTGCTGGACAGACGTCAGTAACGGAAACAAACGTCACGCAACAAGTCCCTCCCCTAAACATGGTGACACTTTGCAGACTCAGATTCAACGGAATATTAAAGCCGCTGCCGCAGTTGTGTGTTGTGTGACACCTAAATACGTTTGTTCAGAGAACTGTACAAAGGATCTCAGTATAGCTGAGTCACTGAACAAGCCTGTCGTTCCCGTGATGCTTCAGTGGCTGGCATGGCCTCCTGAAGGAGGAAGGGCGCGCCGGATTTTGGCGCCGTTGTCGTGTATCGACATGAGCAATGACAACCTATTTAAGAGAAACCTCAGCACTGTTGAAGCACACCTGAAAAAACTCGCAGGAAAAACAAAGTCCACGTGACTACAACGAGATGGAGCACGTCCGAATGACCGCCAATCAACGTCAGGTCCAGCTAAAATCTCAGTTTAATGCCCATTAAGTGTATTGCAGGCGCAGGATGTTTTGCCATACTTCAAATCTTGATTAATCAAAAAGAATGACTAAAAGTGCTTTGGCTAATCACCCTACTGGGGTCATTACGGCAACAACAAGCCGTTTACCCGACTTCTGAAGGAAAAAACTAAGAGATCTTTGGACTCGTATAGTCAGAGCAATGCAAGAAACAAGTTCGTGATCCTTGGCGGCTTTGAATAAGATAGATAGGCACTAATCTACGAACCCGCGCTCAGCCAAGCTCCGAGACCAGAGGAATTATGGATGATTAAGAAATTAGAAACAAACGAGGAATCTAAGAAGGAAGTGATAATATAATACAGCTAACAATATACATATGAATGATGAAAAGAGTATTTAATACAAATGGAAATATAAAACTTTATTGGACAATTGAGTTGAGTGCCAAAAGCGAAGAGACATTACAATTCTGAAAAAAATTATAACTGATTGTCAAATTTACTGACTATTGTACATCTGAAAGAGGATTTACCTGTTTATTTATAAAATGAAAATAACACATGCATTTAAATGCCATTCTGGGAAAGTTTATAATGAGAACAAACTAAACTAGGAAAGACAATTATAGCTCCAAAGGTGTTCAGTGATTAGCCAAAATGTCAAATAACCGCAGTTCATCTGAAAAATACTAACTATGAAATTATGGGGCTTAAAACAGAACTCGACTAAACTTCAAACTTGACTTTGAAAAAGAACACACAGAAAATGAAAAAAGGCCTTAAGGTGTTGTTTTCTTCTGAATATGACGGCATTGCGTGTAAGCACCTACCTCGATCCTCTTATCTGGGGACAGAACCCTCGGTAGGAGGCAGTGTGAACATATCTAAAACATCGAATAGGTCATTTCCGAGTTGCCTCAAGGCTCTGTTTAAAAGCGAGGCTGAATGCAAAGCCATTGAGGTGAAAATCGTTTTTTAATCTCATGCAAAGAAGACATTTCCACAAGAAAAGTTTTGCACTTAGCTTCGTTTTGAAAGTGGAAGTTTTTGGAACTCGGAAATGGCCTATTGAAAGGAGGAAATTTGGTAGGTTGAAAAAGCACGTAGCAAAAAGTGAAGTAAGGGTGCCTACATTCTTTTAAACACTCTATTATGTAGAGCATGTCCCGAACTACAGTGTAAAGAATCAGTACCACTTTTTAAAACAACGAAATAGCCTTTTACCTAATAAAGATTAATTTCAGTTCAATTAGTGCACGTGCGCTCGCGAACTTGCCCTTAAAAGACCAATTACAAATTAGAATCTACGACATCAAAAGCAGGTAGAAAGTTTCTAAATTGTTTCTTAGAGCTGGAAAATGGGTTAACAATAGTTAACAATAACTCGCTCGATCCTCCTCTGCTGACGGCGCAACAAGGCGCTTCCTGTATGCGGCCAAGAAATCATGGTTCAATAAACTCTGTCCCATGTTAGACTGATGCAGCCAGATAGAAGGAGGTGTTGGCGTTACCAAGTAGATGCTGGCTGGGCATGGGTAGTGTGTTTTGCTTCGTTTTTCGCGCATTCCGTGCTGTTTGGAACAATACAGTCGTTTGGTACGCTGTTTATCTCGCTTCTAAATGAATTTAAATCTGGGGAGTCTGCAACAGGTAAGCCGATATAATTTCTTATGGACGTGCTTATTTCAACATTTCTGCAATCGGTATTTCGCTACCTATAGACAGTGACACAGTACTGTATATCAGTCAATTTAGTACAAAAGTCGAGCGCGGGCCTAAGTGTAGTTACCGAGCCCTTAGAATATCATTAAAGTTTTAGAAGTGACGTTATCTAAATTTAACAGACACCTTCCCAATACTGACATTTTTTCCTGTGCTTTCGATGTCCGTAATAAAGGGGTTCAACTTCATTTCTGACATATAATCAGCTGGCAAATGAGTATCTTAGTTCAGGATAGTTGATAATTTCCCGCTTTTTCGTTTGCTATCTTAACTGTACTACCAGGTAACAGTAGATCGATTAACGATTGGTCTTATCTTTTCATAGCATGGGTTGGTTCCCTGGGTTACGGATTTCTTTTCGTGATTGGCCCCCTAACCGCTTGTCTCTGTGAACACTTTGGCTGCCGCGTTATGGCTTGCGCGGGAAGTGTACTAACCACCAGCGCATTGCTACTGACGTCATTCGCCACCAATATCTCCACAATGTACTTTACCTTTGGTGTACTTTGGGGAAGTGGAGGCAGTTTTCTATTCTTCTCTGGAGTCAGCATCCTAAGATTTTACTTTAACAGAAATCTTTCCTTTGCTAACGGTATCACCATGACTGGAGCCGGCTTCGGCACGCTTATCTTCAATATCATGTTGCAGGAACTCGACAGCACGTACGGCTGGCGCGGTGGTATGCGCTTTTTAAGCGTGTTTGCCGCACTTACGTTCTTAAGTGGATGTGCCTACATTCCTCCCCCAGTAGATTATTCAGCGTTTGAAAGACCAAGTCTCTTGTCTAGACTGAAAATGATTGTTGATCCTCGGCCTTGGAGAGACCGAGCATTCCCCATGTGGGTGCTGTCACTCTCGTTTATTTTGTTTGCGTACTTCTTTCCTTACACATATTTGGTAAGTAACCGGTTATGGTATCACATGCTATACTCAGGTGCTAGTCATTAGTTTATAAATTAAAGTAATAAGTATAAGGATACATGTCGGGCGAAAAACACCTGATAAATCTTTTTTCTCAATCCCTGTATATTTTGAAGGTTCTTCAACACTTCAACGAGGCTGGAACTTGATGAATAAAAGTACTGTCCGTAATAAAACGGGACGGTAAAATTCCTTCATTCTTAAAGGGAAAGCGCTGCCAAACCCTTGGATCAACAAAACCAAAGTGAAAAAAACATAACACAGAACAACGATCGACAGGAGCTCATAACCCCCGCGTTCGACAAAGTCCCTCTCTCTTACACTACGTCATAGCTAGCGCTGTGACTAAATTATCTGAAGTAGCCAGGGATTTTTTACATTATGAACCTTTCCTTTGGTTTTAAGAATCAATACAAAGGAATCCCTAAGATAGTAAGGAAAATAACAAATTACAACTTCGATGCTTTTTTGCTTGATACGAATTGTAGGTCAAGATGGCTTTAACGCTGGGCATTCCTATGTCACAAGGATCCCTGTTGCTTGGTTATCTATCCATATCAGCTATATTCGGTAAACTCTTGTGCGGGAGATTGGCAGACCTTCCACGAGTCAGGCGCCTCTACCTAACTGTCATTGCTGCAACGGTTCTAAGCTTGTCCTTCATGTGTGTCACTGCTGCCAAAACATATCACGGATTGCTTGGCTTTGCGATAGTCGCTGGATTCTTCGACGGTTGTTTTGTTCTGACAGTACCACTTATCACACAGGATATTGTTGGGAAAGAGCTTATGACCAAAGCCTTTGGGACTATGTACGGTGCTTTGGCATTTCCTTTGACCTTAGGGCCACCTGTTCTAGGTACTAAAAAGATAAACCTTTAGTGTTTTCAAGACAAAAAGACATATTTTTCAATTTGTTTAACAACCTGAGTGGCTAAAAATCACACAGGCCTTCAGATGAAGTTTCCCAAGTGCGTAAAGCCTTAATTTTATTTACAATGTAATAGTGCGTTTGTTGATTCACATCGTCTTTGACCTCTTTATCTACCTACCCCTAGTATATTCATAATTACTCACTCAATAAGCTTTCGTCGACCCATCAACTAAATGGCCGGGCAGGAGTGAGTTCTCCCTGTGAAAGACTTCGGCGTTAATTGCTTGAGGCTGAAATCTCTGAACCCCTCTCCGTAAGAGGTTAAGTTTCCTCCCTTGCTTGTGACGGAAACAAATTTTCTTTTTTTCAGCGATTTGTCTGGATGATTTGTTTTCTCTTTACAAACACTTATAGACTTCATAAACTAATATCGCCACAGTGAAACTGTCGATCGTTGAAGAAATATTGATGTTTCTTTTTTGTTTTTCATTTCTTAAAAGGTCAACTGTACAAGTCCACGGGTTCCTTCACGACGGTTTTCTTTGTATCAGCTTGTTTTGTTCTGACTGGAGTAGGCCTTATATTTATTGTTATGCGGATTCGTCCAGACCTTGTTCGGAAGCAAGAGTCTGCCAGAGAAGAGGTGTTTCCTTCGCTCAGTATTCATTCCGCAAGCGTCGTTGACACACTAAGTGGGATGTTTGTCACAGAACCAAACTTGTCGGTTTCTCACTTGGATCCCGTGGAAATAGGGTCATACCAACGGTTTGATAGTTTTCGACGAGAAAATCCTAGGGCAACTACCGTTGATCCTGTCATGAGAAGACTAGCAAGCAGAACAGACGTTGAAGCTGTTTATAAGCAAGCTATTGACAATATGTCTATCGGCGCTGAAGCGTCCCGTCATGTTCGCAACAGTTCAGATGCTGATTCCTTAAAAAAGACTGATGCCTCCATTCCATCGCATCCCGGCAGTGTATTTAGTGGTTCTATGCTACCATCCACAGAAATAACAGAAAATATAGATTCCCCTTCGGATTTACAACCTACCCTTAGGAAAAGACAAGAATTACCATTATCATCCGAAACTTGCTCTACTCTAGTAAATAAAGACAGCATTATCTTGTCTAACAAGGAAGGGCTCAAAATACCTATCAATGTTGAGGCAGGTTTACAAGAGGATAACGAAATGAATCAAAATGATGTCGAGCAGCAGGAATTGTCTTTAACAAATGATACATTTTCCATTGTAACCACCCACTCCATTGACCCACAGACTGCTGTGCTACAAAAATGGCCCACGCAGGAGGATGAACCCGTGTTTGGTGCTACACTAGATGAGAATATTTCTGTTCCATGTAATAGAGACCAGCTGCTGCAGATGGAACTGTCAGACAATAGAGAAATAGTTGATGATATCATGGATTCAGTCACAGATGATGAACTGGTTAGGCTTGCTCCGCCTCCAGAAAGCAACAGTAAAAAAAGAGCAGCTCAAGATGAAGAGGACGAGACTAGCGACTTGGCTATCGAACCATTTCTACATAAACTTTTTCAGGGTAAAATAGTTGACAATGATGCGTCGGGCGGAGAAAAATTTCAAGATAGTAGTCTAAGTGCGGGGAAAGAGATACACTCTTGTAACAGAGAAGATGCTATACAAGAAGAAACCCTTGACGTCAATGAGGTGCTCGAAATTGTCCGTATTCCACCGCCACCCGCAATTCCGCGAACAGGACAGTTAGTAGCGGTAGAAAGTGAAACAATCAACGCCCACAAAGATGTCGATTTGGCAGAGAGTATTTGTACATCAGCAGGTCATGGTACCTCCCTTTCCGAGATAAAATTGGATGATTGCCAAAATGATTTTGCTGCTGATTCTTCTTCGTCAAAAGATGTAACTATCACACAACCAAAAGAAAGACTTCATCTTGCGGTTATTGACCAACTTAGTTTGTTAAGTGAGAGACTTGAGGCAGTCGCTGCTCGCCAGATCGAGGAAGAAGAATTAGGAGGTGAGGCTGGAGACGAACAGGACCCTCGCCCTGTTTTCTCGCCAGCTTTGCAGAGTTTGCCTTTAACGCCACGTTATTCGGCAAATCACAGTGTACCTCTGACCCCAGTTCGTGCATGGTCAAATTCCGTCAACACGCCGGCACCAACACCATTACATACTCCTCCAAGTACTTTCCACACAACAGCACCAACCCCTATCCCAACACCGCGACCCGTATCACAGAACTTATCAGCTGTTTTCAATGTTGCTTCACTAACTGAAACACCAAGCGCGATGCATCCAGATTCAAGTGAAGAGGTCCATACTTTTAATCAATCCCCTCCACAGGAAGGTCTAACTCGACATCGTAGCAGATGTTCGTCTTTCTCGGAAGCTGGGCAGGAGTATGTGCTCAATGAATGGAGTCATTTGGAACAAAGAGACACTGAAGGATCCATGGATGCATTCCCCTCAAAACCGTCAAGTGGAACAAATTCTTCGACTTCAAATAATGCAAGATCGCTGAATGATTTGAACAGTGTTAGTGAACCTATTGACGTCATTGGCAGGAAAGAAAATGAGCGTCTCGATGGACACTGGAATTCTCCCGCGAATCCTGTTTCAGATCAAGGGCTTGATTATACCCCTCCCATTTGTCTACCACAACAGCCATTTATAAAACCCCCTCGAACAAGGAATCCGTTCCAGCAAGCACTTTTGGATGGAAACCAAATGGAACTTCAAGCAAGTCAAGTGGATATCCTCACGTCGAGCAAAGTGGAAAACACCATTGCTTGGCATCAAAATCTGTCCATTGAACTGGAAAAAGAAGGAGAAAAACCCAACAATGAAACACCAGAATGTTTGCCACAAAAAACAGTGTACCTACCATTGAGCACCAACGATATTGAAGAAAGCCTAGATCAACCACTTCCTACGGAGCTACTATCAGATACGGTGCACAAAGGACTTCAAAATAACGGTACAAACATTACGCAGTCTTCTCCCCCTGGCGATGGTGACGTTCTCCAGCGAGACACGGTTAATGGATCCGAATCGCAAGTATATTTATCTCATGAGTTAGCATCATATGCAGTTACTGATGCAATAAAGGAAACTCAAATAAAGCTAAGTTCAGAGGAATCAAGATTAAACCCATTTTTGGGCAATGATCAAAACCAAACGACAGAGTTTTCTCAGCAAAATCGATATCAACAATGCCAGGCTTATTGTTCAGCTTTCGTTCCATCTGAGCCTCAAAGTCTCTTCACATCAAACTGGGTTGCGATGCCAATGCAACAAAATCGTTTGGATTCAAACTCTGCGGGTCCCACGTCAAATCCATTTGGTGAAGAACTTCAAAGGAAAACCAAAGATTTTTTTCAAGACATCTCTCAGAGGGCTTCGTTACAACAGCATGAGGATTGTTCATCCGCGGGAGATCCTGGCGAGCTCAAACTCACCACCCAAAATCATGAAAAGTCAATAACTGCAGTTCCTGTGCAAGACAACGCCAAAGACAGTAAGGTCGATTTTACCCCAAGGGAGGCTCAGAGTTTGTCAAAGTTGGACTTTCATCAACAGATAGGAGGACTGCCTTGCCAATACGACGATACTGAAAATCTGGTTGATCAACAAGTTATTTCTAATCAAATACATTTGGTGAAAGTGAAAGAAGATGTACCTGTAAATCCCACAGAACTGAAAGTTAATCTTTCAGAAGGCTCACCCATACCCCTTGAAAACGCCAAGAAGGAAGTCAAACACACGGTAACTAGCCAAAGTACTTGGACAACGTTTTCACGCAGCGAGGATGCCTTAATTTTTGACATGGACACGGAAAGCGAATCTACCTCTGAAAGTACAGAAAAGCTAGAGAACGAATCAACGAGCTCATCCGTCGAAATGAAGCACGAACATCAAGCATCTCTTGGAGAGTTTGCTGACCAAAATACCTTGTTTCCCCCGCTGAAGGTGTTCTCTGATTTAGGCGACAGCAATCTCTTTAAGAGGCCAGGAGATCCTGAGAAACTTCCACCACCGCCTAAACAAGCCCAACGAAAACGAAATGACATTTTTTTTCTAGCCAACTCAGAGCATGCGTGTTCTAACAGTCACCATGGTCATCTAAGGCAAGAGAAGATAGCCACGCAAACCGAGTCTATAATTCAGGAAAGTGCTACCGCTAAATCGCATTCTGTAGCTAGTGGTGGAGATTTGTCTCCCACATTAAACTCTCTGAGCGACATCACATCGGATGTTCTGAGTGACTCTAAAGCTGCCGAACAAATGCGTGATGCATGCTCTAAGAAATTAAGTGACAACTCAATAACTGAAGAAATATGTCGCGAGTTTGAATTCACTGAAGGTAGTGGTGATATCCTTTTCAGCGAAGAATTTAATAACTCTAATCCAGACGAGGACTTAGCTAAATCTTCAATCCACGACGACATAGCGCCTCTTCTAATGCAAAATGAGGGGTCTATACAGTATTTGAATCTTCGCGACTTACCCGAGAACAGTCACGTTCTTCAAAAACGACCATCGACAACCTCATCTACAGATGATTCAAGCACCAGCGGCACCTCTACAGATTCAAGTTTGTCGGAAACTGAGATAGTGCCTTATAGTAAATTGCAAGAAGAATCGCCGTTGAAGGGTCATGGGTGAGGGTCACAAGTTGTCCTAATTAATTTAAGTTTAACAAGGGTTGCCAAAACCATCGCAAATTGGTATCAGCGAACCCACTTTCATCGGTGTGCGAAACGCAATGAAGAGTTGCTTAAAATACTAACACTTGATGAATGATTGAAATACCGGAAAAAAACTGGTTCAACTAGCCGCATGACCTTTACGTGAAACGATCATTAAACATAAAAGCATCACTAATAATCATTGCGGTGATTGTGCTTTCTTTACTTTGTATCGTAGAAATAGACACCAGCACATATCGCTCAACCTGCAAAAGAAATAAAACATTGAAATAATTATACATTTCTAAATGTAAATAAAGTTCACGCAAATCTTGCAATTTTAGAGATGTGCGTACACTTCACTCACTTAGTCACTCACCCACCTACCAACTCGCTCACCCACCCACTCCCTCATCCACTCACTCACCCACCCACTCACTCTCTCACCCACCCACTCTCTCAGCCACCCACTCACGCAAGTTGTCAAAAAAAACCATTGCGCACACTGCAACTCAGTACTAACTTCAAGTGGCCAAAAATGAAAAACTTCGATTGACTTGCGTGCAAATTTGATCTCGAAAAAAGTGAAAGCGAGACACTGTAAGTCAACTCAAGTGCATGCAAGCCATGGCTAAACAGGGACACAAGCCGACGCAAGTTGAAAAGTTGCATCTATGTACTAAGCTTGTGTCTTTGTTTGTTCAAGCCTTTATTGTTAACATGGCAAAAAGATAACCCGCCAGAAGGGTGCCCCTGGCAAGCATGTTACCCTGTCTCGCATGTAAAATTTACAAGTTACCTAATTCTAATAGGCTCTTTCAGTTCCAGCGAACGAACTTTTCCAAAGGAGAACAGTTTCTTGTTTAAAGAAAGTCGATCACTTAAGCAATTATTGCAAAAGGTACCAATTTAGCCAATGAAGCACACGTATTAACTCCGCGGTATGGTCAGTACTGAATAAAACCGACACAATTATAGTAGACTTTCTTCAGATAATCTTCAAGATTATGATTCAAAGCCTTCAGACTAGCAATAAATCAGCTTCTCAAAACAACAATCAGAGACAGCATCAGAAAACATTCAGAATCTTCGAGCGAGAGGAAAGTTCGTGGGGGTGGAGTTTTCCAAAACGAAAACACGTGATTCTGACGTCATACTGTGTCCCAGTTTCCCACAAGTACCTTACGCATGCGCACAACCATATCAACCCGGCTGAACGCGAAAAGCCTATTATATAAAGGTTACTGCTACTACTACCTTCAAGCATGAGTATTTCGTGTGACCCTTGTAAATCCTGCTAAGACAGTGTGACGAGAAGTTCTTCATTCTGCAATGAGGTGACGAGAGATTCTTCCTGAAAGCGTGTGCACGAACAACACGGCAGAACTGGATACTGCGGGTGAAAACTAACTCTGAGCTACTACGCGATTACGTTCTAAGTCGGAACACGGGTACTAGCAGCAGTGTACTCCGAGCGCAGTAATCACCTTCAAATGAAATGGAACTGCTATCTCTCAAACCAACTTTTTCAACTTTCTCTGCCCACTCAACCCTGCCCTCTTGGGCACCCTTTTACTTTTTAAAAAAGGGAAAAAAGCCAGGACAATGTTAACATACTATCAAAGATCAAGCAGTTGAGTAACTCTGACACCTGTTTAGGGTTTTTTTTTTTTTTTAGTGGTTGTCTAGTTTCCAGTTTCTGTTTTGTCAATTGTGTAATGGACTTCTAAAAAACTTGAACCTTTATTCTGAAATGTTAAATATTATCCTTTTTTAACTCGTAAATACCCAAAGGCTATTTCACAAAGTTATCGCTGTGGCTTCAGAAATGAAAATAAGTCCCTCACTGATGATAGACGACCTTGAGCCAGCTCCGAAGTTGCCCGATGTTAACACGACGTATCGTCATTGTTGTGTACTTTGGGCAACTTTGGGCCTGCATTTACTCACGCCACGTCATAAGAGAACTCTGGTAATGAGGCTGTCCCACTCACTTTCGCTGCGGAAACATTTGAGTTTGTCGCGCTCACTTTTCGTTGAGAGAAAACAATTTGACCCCTTTGTCCGAGTCAACAGCGCTTGGGCATGCTCTGATTGTCCCACCTTGACCGAGTTGACCAGGCTAGCTGGGCAAACCAAAGTGTTTATAAGGAGAAAAGTCACCCTTCTAGCTGAGCCAACTTTTTGTTTGTCATGTAAACGGTTCGTGAAGTTTTCTGTCTGAAAAAGTCCAGGATAGATTAAGTAGACGAGTGACCCTCTACACGGGACAAATTACTTATAAATTAGGCTACGATTACGGTATAGTGTGAACACCTAACCGATATGTGACTCTCCACTGTGAAGACAGGAGGCTTCAGGGGCGGATCCAGGATTTTTTTTTAGGAGGGGGTGCACTCGTCTCTTGCTCTACTTCAACACCAATAAACCACATAGTTTCTTTTTTGCAGAATACCAGTTGTATTAGAAAACCGCAGGTCATCTCAGGGGGAAGGGGGGTGCGCACCCCCTGCACCCTCCCCCTAGATCCGCCCCTGGGCTTGACGAAGCTTCGCTCCGTTCAAGAAATCGCGCCGAAATCAAATCCGGCTCAGTTTTCGTGCCGGCGCAGAAGCTATCTGGTACAGTGAAACATAGCCTTAGTATTAGAAGTTCCCATTGCTTTTCGTTTTGGGAAATAAAAAAAGAAAACTGTTGTTAAATCAAAATTTTAGACAATAGGTTATTTATAGATAACGAATGGACGAATAAAAAAGAATTACGCTATTGTTGTCCATTTTATACTTTTAATAGTCGAGATAGTAATTTGACCAGATAAACGATCAAATGTCTTTACACTTCTTAGAAGTTTTTGTTGCTTTTCTTAAAAAGGATTGAAAAAATTAAGCTAAAATTATTTGGTAATCTTATTACAAACATTAAATAGCAAAAACGAACCTCAACGGTTCAAATCAGAAAGTCTTGGTGGATTAATTAACTTGTAACGATACTTTTCGCTCAAAGGATTTGCCATATAAAACATTAAGAAAGGTTACAAGTTTAATTGATCAATTTCCCTAATTAATACTGCTTCCCTGGTCCACAGCCCACCGTCTTTTAATTTCCCGTCTATTTCTCGTTGAGGAACTCTGTAAAATTTCTAAGGGTTTCGAAAAAAATCAGTATTTCTGCCAATAAAACTCATTCTACCACCCTCGGCTTTACCTCACAACAAGATGTAAGAAGCAAAATAGTTTAAGGATCGTGATTGTCGCCACACTATTTCACCCATACTTTTTTCATGTCATTGAGCTGTTTGAGTGGTCGACTGGCTATTTTGAATTGACGGGCGAGGTGAACCGTTTTGAAAAAGTTTAGAAAGCAGTTTCAATAGGCTGTTGTTTGATTATATTCCCTTTCACGAACCTTTAACAAAAAGTCACCTCAATAAATTAAAAAAAAATAAATGTATTAAATATAATTGAATTAATTATTCAAAAAACCTAGTGATAAAATCGATTATCTGGAGACAAGACAATAAAAAGGCACTCGTAAAATGAGGCCGCGTCAATTGATATACTTTATTGGTACTTAATTTCGCGACTTTGGTGAGACAGTATTTCGCGGGGTTTTATTTCCGCAATTAGTATACTACTACATGAAAAATTTCTGCAATTTGATTAGCTCAGAGCAGTGGTATTTCAGCTTAATTTGAAATACCTACACGTGAAAATTACAAAACTTTTGCGGGTAGTAGTATAAACAAATAATAGCATGATTCGTACGTGACATTTGGTATAAATACCACTTGTGATATTTCAAAATTGTCTCAAATTTCACTCGCCTAGCGGCTCGTGAAATTACGTATAACAATTTCGAAATATCACTCGTGATATTTATGCCAAATATCACGTAAAAATCATGCTATTATGTGTTTATACTACTAAACTGGGCATTTAATTTTGCGATGAATTTTATTCGCGGGTCTTTATTTCGCGATAAGTACCAATAAGTTAATTTTCTCAGTCTGGTTAAAAAATTGTTATATAGTTGTTTCTCGGCAAGAGTCAAAATTGGTTAAAATGTATTCCCCCCACAAAAGACTAACGCCATTTGTTGTTGTTCTTGTGTTGCTAACAGTCAATGATTCTTTCTTATGGTTACCATTCTCAATTCCTGACTTTTGAGGACTGACAACTTCATTTTCTAGCGAAGTTTCAAACAATACACTGAACATGTCTATAGAACCAGCTTTCCAGACTCCTTTCATAAGTCTTTCATTTTGCACAACGACCTCTAGATCATCAAAGCTCATAGCTGGTGTTATTATAGTCACAGAACCAAACTTGCTTTCCATTGTTTTGTCGACCACTTCACTCGATTGCGACGATGTCGTGTCCCTATTGTAGTCGCTCTCATATCCGGACGAGCCATTTAGCGAGTCCGTACAATGCAACTGGGCAGCGGCTGACCATGCGCGATACATTGCAGACATCATTAAAGGTGGCGTGTCACTTTGTCTCAGCACTGCCATGGAGACGCTGTGCTGTAATACACTGTCATGGTGATTTCTACTGGAAAAAAATGCGGCCTCAGTGGGGTAACTGAAAATCATCCTCGGCGTTTTCCCGTAACTAGTGGATCTCTTGATGTGTTCTCGATCGTTTAGAATCATTACGCTTTCTTCGCTACACGATTCGGGTTTTCTTTGCATTAACCATGGAACAAAAAACAGCAAACACACTCCGAAAGTCATAATTGCTCCACAAAGAAAGAATGCGATATCATATTTTCCGAATTTGTCGAAGATAAATCCTGCAATGAAGAGAAGAAAAGAGAAATTTTATGTTACAAGTCCCGACATAGTTTAAGACTTAAATTTTTGATTTGAGATTTTTAGATCACACTAATGCTAATACTTACTGATTATCTTTAGGCCGCTTTAACATAAACTGATTAAATATTGACTAAAAATCGATAACAGTCCGGAATTCTTCATTGTACTTTTTTTCAACCAGAAAAGTTAGCACTGTTATCCGGTTATTGAAGGAGGTTAAGACCTCTCCCGATGGCAAAATGCTAAAACTTCTAACATTTGACAACTTGTTCCCGCAACTACGACATTCTCGTTAAAACTCGTAGTAGAATAACGACGGCTATCACGTTTTCCCCCCAAAATGACGCTGGTTCACGTGTGAGCAATACTCAGTATTAAGAAAATCTCGTTCTCGTTGTCATTCCACATAGTCCACTTCGTACAACTGGACAGGGGCTGCGTCACGGTTGTCTGGTCATTTTGTTATAATTGGAATCCGGAATCCTGGGCTTTGGAATCTGGAAAACAGCTCTAGGAATTCGGGATCCAAGTTTCACTGACAGAGAATCCGGAATCCGGAATTCATGGCGTGGAATCCAGAATCCACAGCTGTCTTGGATCCCCTTACATGAGGCCAATAATGCCGATTGCACGTCCTTATAGCTCACTTCGGAAAAGAGTTATAGCCTGGGACCCAAACTAAGCACGCGCTCATTTCTGGGATTGTCTGGGGGTACAAGTCGAGTAGCCACCTTGAATTATGGCGAGACATGCAAGTTGTTGTGTTTCTTGAGAAAAAGTGGCTATGCTCACAGGTTGTCGAGTAAATTTAGACAATGAATTTTAAAACACTATACCAACCTGCCACAGGAGGACCAAGTAAGTTTCCGATTGCGGCCGCAAAGCAAAGGTTTCCAAAGGCCCGACCTACCAGTTTCTCTCCAACAATATACAATGTTCCCATCCCGAACATGACGGCTAGACATCCATCAAACAAGCCAAACACAACAACATACACCACCAAAGATGAGTAAGTCCTTGCTAATGGAAAGAGAGTGGCATTAATAGCCAGCACAAGGCCAATGATTTGAACTGACGTGACTCTGTCTATTCGCGGACTGCTTCCCAGTCTCCCGAACACTATCCGGGAAGCTGTTTGCGTGATAGCCTGGAAACCAATGAGTAATGCACTCTTGGAACTTGGAATACCTATATCATTTGCTATGCTGATCTGTTGAAACACAAGAACAACTTTCACCTTCACAACGGTTACACCCTAGCGCTAAAAGAAACTAGGAACCTTATTAAGCCAACACTCTGAAAGCAGTCGGGTAGGTTCCAAGATTTTCTTCCATATCTTTTATGTAAGACGGGTATGAATAATTAAGCGGACTCTCCCCCTAGTACAGGTTTTGCTGTAACCGCCGCACTTCTCTAGTTCTGTCTTGACCGTGAGACAAGAAAAAAAGTTAACGCAAAAGGGACACAAGAAATGTTAATACTCAGTGTACAACACCAGTCCATCAAAGCGAGTCCCGGCGCTTATCTTTTCATATGAAAATAAGATTTCGTTCACGCGCAAATAAACTCATTTTCATTATTGAAAGTTATGCACTAGGCCTCGCTTTAATGAAGAGTCTTAGGGCAACATCCGAAAGGGGTTATACCGCCACATTATGGCTCTCGGTTACACCCCTCTTTCTCCTGGCTTGCGCTTGCAGTAATTGCATTTGCTAGGTGTCTTAATGAAAGTGAAAAATTCAAACACAAGTGTGAAAGCACGCAGTTACCGATTGCCATGTTCTAACTTTGTAATGTTTGCGAAGGAGTTGTGTGTTAGACTAATGTATTTCTATTGTAATTTATTTGATTCCACTCGCACCTTTGTGATTTCTTTCATTTTGTATCGTAACTTCTGTGATTGGATTAAAGATCGCGTGCCACTTTCTCGACCAATGAGAACATGATCTAAACAGAACCTAGTTCCACCCGTTTTCCCGCGCTTCTCGAAAAAGACGAAGCACCGCCCCGCCGAAGGACCGTGTGTTGTGTCGCCATTGCGCGAAGAAAGAAATCACACAAGTGACTACCTACTGTATTGAGGATGTCACACCAGTTTGAAGAAAGCGAGAGAGAACAAAAAAAGTGACTTCAAAAAGAACTTAATTAGCCAACAGAAAAAGTAAAACGAACAACCTGTATGCAACTGAACGTGAGGCTGGTTGTTTACCATTTACATGGGTAAACCGCTCGATTCACGGTCTGGGAAAATGGTTAGCAAGATTCAAGACTGGTAAATATCGTGTCGGAATCGCCTTAGCCATTTGTACAAATTAGTTACATTTATAAAACAGCCAACAAGGCCTGAAACTGGTAACAATAATGGCTTGAAATGGAACACAAATTTTCGTTTGGAACATTCCGTCCGGAAAAACAGCACTACCTTTTTCGATGTTCAGTTGCTCCCGGAAATTTTCCTCTGAAACCATTAAAAAGTTGCGTTCCATTTACTTCCCAACCGGATTTTGCGGAAAAGTTTGGTAAATGGTAAACAACCGCTTTTATCGGAACATTTGCCATGAACCGAAACAAGAAATTTGTACTTACCAAAAAGACGAACGGTATGAAGTTTCCAAACGCGATAAAACTCAAAGAAACTGCCCAAACCGCAAACGCCTTGTTGTTCCAGGGGTTTAAAGTAATAAATTCCAATAAATGTAACTTAAGCTTGTGATGAATACCACCATGTAAATTTCTAATTAATTCTTTCTTGTCTAGTTTAAGATAAAGCCTCCGCGATATAGTAATTTGACCGTAGCTCAGACTTGCAGCACACATGAGCAGCGTGATTCCCGCAAGAATTCGTATTGTCACTCTCCAGTTGTAATATCCGATAAGTTGATTAATTAACCACGTCATCGGCGGAACGCCCAGTCCAGCTCCAGCAATGGCGATTCCGTAAGCTAATGATAAATATTTTCTAAAATGCATGGGTAAAATGACTAAAGAAGCGAAATAACAAAAACTTGTTCCCACTCCCCAGAGTAGGCCATAGGTGAAATACAGCAAAACGAAATTTGTAACGTATGACGTAGTGAAGAGTCCAACAAATGAGAGAAGACCTCCAACGCACGTGACTACCCGGCATCCCATGTTATCGCACAGGGCGGTGGCCAGCGGTCCCATGAAAAACATTATACCAAACGCAAGCGATCCCACCCAGGCTGCAACAGAGAAGACACTGAAATTACAATTTGTTCGGATCTGGAAACACTTACAAGTAACAAACTTACAATAATTTGACCCAATATACGACAAGTAAGGAAGCGAATCACTGCATGTTTCAATGCGTGCTTCTTTGTATTTCTCGAAACTCAGCCTTTACCAATTAACACTTTTGGCTTCTGGCATGCACCTCCGTTCAGATTTTTTTTTTCACTTTTTGACGCATTCTCCAAAGTGTACAGTTAGCGCCTAAGTAAATGTTGTAAATTTAGTTAACTTGATGCCGTAATAAACATTTTAAAAACAAACTTTTAGTCATTCAAGTTGACGAAACTCTTGGCTTTGCTTAAAGGATCCACTCGAGCATTTTTAAGAACAGAAAGAAAAATGTCTCCACAAATTACGATTTTGAGACAAATTTCCTGTATGTAAAATAAAATATCGAAACTGAAAACAGCCGAATGTTTAGTAGTGTGACTCTTACAGTCAATGTTGTTTAGACTTGTATTCAATTGTTTTTGGAAAACGACTGAGGGCCACTAAAGGTGTCGTTTGATTTCAGACGCCGCAGCCGTCTGGTTACGTGCCGTTTTTCCTTAGCTTAGTTCGCCTGCAGTGCGTTTTAGCCTTCTCTGTATGTTATCTTTTATTTACGCCCCTAAACTATCATAAGATATCGTATTTTTTCGATTTAACGCATTGGCGTTTTATGGAATTATATGATCAAATGCGTATACAAAAGAATGAGACTTATATAGAACAACAAAAGTTATACTACCTACTGTATGTCCTGACAACAATTACGATAAGACAAATACTATGTATAAAGGAAAGATGTTTAATCTTATAAGTCTAGCAATAAACGTCGCACTCTTCTGATTGGGTACTCTGTTCATTCCAGGGCGGTGTTTATTTAGGGTCTCAATATGGTGTAGCTTTTTTGACAGTTAAATTTTAGAAATTTATTTCAAGAGTTTAAGTAAATGTTACCTTCTATATGAATTAATATTAACTGTTGTGTTTTGGAACTTGTTTTAGCCTTTCATTTATAATGATTTCAAGATATTTTCAGATACAAGCAAGTTGTACGGTCTTGTAATGTCTAGAAAGAGTGTTTTAGAGAACATGGGAACTGTTTTTTCCAGTTTAGAGCCTCCTCTGGAGCAAGAATATTGTGAAGATCAGCTGATTTGATTTTTAATTTTAATCTGCATTTTTTACGGTCGGCGGTAAAAAATTACAGTAATAGCCCGCGTATAAGAACCTGGGTTTTAAGAACCTGTTAGGCTGAAATTTTCCTTTTAAGACCCCTCCACATAAGAACCTATTTAGGTTAAAATTTTGAGTTAGGTTCTTATCAGTGGAGTTGCTGTAAAAGTGTATAGGTCGAAACTGCTGAATTAAGATCATCATCTGATTATATTTAAAAGTAACTTGACATAACATTTTGTTAAGGACATACCTGCACTGTACTGCCTTTAGGCATTACTGTATGGTATAAATGATTTATATAGAGGATGTCACACGGTGACGCGAAGATATGAATTTTATTTTCGAGTGGCAAAACAATATTTAACAATATTTTTTAATTTTACGAGTGGTATATTTTCCACTAAAACACTCATGTCTGTACAATAAATTGTATTATGAGATGATATTTATAACATATTTAAATGAAATTCACATGAAAATATAAGAACCTATTTTAAGAACCTTGGTAGTCTAAATTTGCTTTAAGTGCCATTTATATAAGAACCTGTTAAGGCTAAATTAAAAAATCCAGGTTCTTATACGCGGGGCTTTACTGTACCTTTTTTGACGGTTGACGGTTAAATTTATGCGTGTAAAAGTAAATGTGTAAATGTGTAAACATCTTATTATCCACTCCCCTCAGAGCTTTTCAGGAATAATTTACAACACTGGTTGGGGGACTTTGCCAGACTGCGTAAGGTGCAGTTTACAAGTAGTGAAGGCATGAGTAATGATGCCCCCATACGTGAGTGTGAAAGTGAGATAGACCACTACACCGGGCACCACGTGCTCTACTCTTTACGAAGAGTGTGTGGGTTCTTTAACGTCCCAAGGATTTTTTATTACATGTGCAAGGGCTTGTGAGACGGGGCCTACGGGTTATCTTCCTTATCCGAGAAGACTAGAAAGTCAAACCGTTTGTCGATGTTATTACAAAGGCAGCACTTTCTCCTCAGTTATTTAAAGACCCTGAGTGTTGGTCCGGCCGGGGTTTGAACCTACGACCCCCCGCCCAGCAGACTGGCGCTTATCCTATTGAGCTAACCGTTTGTCGGCTAAAGGTTCACCCCATTGAGACCCTCTTTATTGATCATTTGGTTCCATCCGCGGCGTTTAATGAAGGGAGGTGTTTATACGAGTAAATAAGGTTTTTCTTCCTAAGCATTTCCTAGCAAAAATAAGTTTGACTGGACAACGTGACCAGTGTCTACCGGTCTCTCAAGTCTAGCTTGCGTAGCATTAGCGTTTTTGTTTGGTTGCTACGCAGGCTATCTCAAGCCCTGCCCTTGACGTCCTGCAAGCCGAGGCCTCTTTTCCCCGGTGGGAAGGGGGGGGGGTGGGGTGGTACTTCCCTATAAAATTGACGGGGGTGCTCGTCGTACTTTTTAGAGGTTTATATTTGTGGGTTGGTACCGCTAAGGGTGCGAAAACTTAAAATGATTACTGCCAGACTCTGTTAGAAATGATACGCTTTATCAGGATGAAGATTTCTGACAATACTTTCAAAAAGTCCTCGAGAAGAAAGTGGTCGAAAGTTGTCTTTATTACCTTTAAAATTTGCAGAGCCAGTTATATAGTTTGTTGTTGCTGAATTGATACCTCTCAGGGGTGGAAATGAATTTGGGACACGCCCGAAAAACAAGATTACTGGTACCTTTTATGGGTGTTCTCGAAATTTTCCGACGAGCGCCCCCGTCACTTTTATAGGGAAGTACCCCCGGGCTCTTTTCCCCGCCGAATACCAGAGAAAAGAGGACTCTGCTAACAGGGAAAACAAACATCAGCTCTATATTAACTTCACATTGCTTAATTAGGAACAGGAAGCACGTAGCAACCCCGCAACCCAGCCGTACGCTCGCATAAGCTGCACTCCTCCATTTGTTCCCCGTAATCCTAAACGTAAACAACAGATTACAAGTAGTCCCTCAATTAAAGCGCGCAAAAATTGCCACGAGCGAGAGGAGAAGCGGAGACGCGTGTCACCTTCCTAGCGGATGGCGAGTTTCAGTCTCACGCGCTGGCGTTTTCCCTCTTTCCATAACCTGTTCTACACGTTCAGAGAGTAGGGCGCTGGCGAAAATTGACGAGGGAAAAATGGGACGGAAAAGGTCTCCCCTCTTTATTATTTTTTTACCCTCGTTTTCCTTTTGTGCTCGCCGCGTACAATTTAACTCGCTCTCCACCAACTGAACGTCAGAAACAGGCAATTTGCTCCTGGACTGGTCGTAGTGTGCATAAACGACAACCACGTTGGCGGTTTAAATGACATTTCAACACGTATTTGCACGTGGCGGAAGGATGAGGAACTGAGATCGGAGGAATATGACCTTGCTTTTTTTTCTGGACTGATGAAAGCTGGATCAGCCGAATCGGAAGATGGGTCATTAGAGTTTTTAGTTTTTAGGTGAAACATGAAACACGCACTTCATTTGTCCTCAGGAAAATTTTGCATGAACATAATTAAAAGAATTTTCCACCCCTTCTTCTTATATCGTCGGAAAGAACCTTCATGCACAGCTGATCATGTGGGAATTTGTACGAACCGCGGCCCCATAAAGAGGCGCGTAGGGTTTCTCAAAAAAATTCATCTTGAAGGAACTACCTAGATGTACCACCCCTTAATATACCTTTTTATATGCCATTTCATTGAAAAATGTTAACTATTTTGAATTTTCGATTACGAGAAGGCCTCGAAAAAAGATACCCATGCATTTTTAGCGCAGCCTACCCCGATGAAGAGAAGAGGGCTTTAGAGCCCCAGTTCATGTGGATTGCCGCTAAAACCTTTAAAAAAATATATTGGTTTCGCTTCGATCCCGGGGGGTACTCCCTCTTTTTTAGCCTTAGAGGTGATGCACGGTGCCAAAGGGTATACGTTTGAGTCTTTTAGCCTAAAATTACATATTAGAGGTATAGATTTCAACCACGGTGGTCTAAGTCTAAAGTAGGGTAAGGTTTGGTCAGGAATTGGGTTACGGATCTTTTTCCTTTTTATTCACCTCTTGAGAATTGCACTTTGATTACTTGGAAGCCATTCTCAATTATTGTCGAATCCCGCTTTAAGAACACCCGTTTCATACCGTCACCTTGTTATTTCTGGCAGTTTGCTTCAATTCAGTCAATTGTCGCTGGGGAAAGAAAGCCCTTACATTTTGTCTAAATTTCACTAGCCTAAGTACGGACACCCCGTTAACACGGACATTTTCTGGCCCCCTCAATGTCCGTATTTTAAAACGGGATCTGACTGTATTGAAGAGGCAAACGGATCAGCTCTATATATCATATAGTATGGTCTTAGGTGGTGTGGGGATATAACAGCAAGCTCTCCCCCCGGGCATGAAAATTATGACTGACTAATTAAAAAGTCACGTTTTTTCGGATTTTTAAAACCGGAAACTATATAAAGTTACAAGTATTTGATAAACAAATTTCCCGGACCCATGCACAGATGGCGGTCAACGAAAGGGCACAAACATGACTTTAAAAAATGAATCTCTCACGTATTTTAAAGCAACCAGCCATTCTAACAAGCAGTGCTTGTTTTTGCTACCTGTCATCTAACGGACAGAACGTAAATAAATAATATGAATGTCTTGTAACATTTATTGTCGGAAATAATAACTCATATCATCATATCCCCTTCCCAAGCAAGTTGATAACCATGGAAAGAACAGAAAATTGTGTGTAATGCTTAGCTACTTTGAAGCCTGTTAATGCTGCGTCCTTGAAAATTATTCTTTAAAACGCATGGGAACGAT